GAGGTGGAAATCTTGATCCGACTCTGGTTCGGAAGCAGAGGGGCAGGTTGGCGAAAGATTGGTTTCGGGATCAAGAGGAATACTCTCATCTACGCTCTGGATGATGACGCTCTCGAGGTAGTGGAGCACACGTGTAGCAAAGCCAGTGTCGGCGAGAACGCGGCTTCGTAGATTAGCAAATGCAAGATTGCCTTTGAGCCACACCATTGCGTGTCAATGTAACATCCCTCTGCCGTTGGTCTCGACCACACCATAATGATTTGAAACATCTCCGAGGATGCCAGTATGATGGCGCCCGCTGGCGAATAACCCTTCCAAAACAGCGGTGCAGATATAATGGAAAAATGAGGCAACCGCCACTGGGTTGGATGTGGCGGTCGCACCTCGAACAGCTGAATTTGAGGCAGATAGGATATCGTCAGAGTACTCCACACCCGCCAAGATGATAACAAGTGGACTACGTAAATCTGAGGGGTTGATGGTAATCCAAAAAGCGGGCATTCCAAAACGGACAATGAGACCTCGGATTTCAGATCGCATTCTCAGTTTTTGAGCGAAAGACCCGGGGACCCACATGGCAATGGCTTTCATAACATGTAGTAGACGGGAAATGACTGGATCTTTGACTTCATGGCTGGTCTCTAGATCTTGCAGCGCATTGCGAAGCCGATCTTCTGTAAGAGAAGAAATATCGTAGATAGTTGATGGCCAGTGACGACGTTGAAGGACCAATTTATTCGCGAGAGAAGATTTCCGAATTTGTAGCACGTCGTATATAAGATACATGAAGGTTTTGTGGCGCGCGAACCTGCTCTAGTCAGAGTCGGTAGCTCACAGGGGATAGCGTTAAAGCATACCTCCTGCTATGGTGCTTCAGTGCCCATTTGGCGAAAGAGGACAAGGAAACATTAAGTGGACGGTCGTCCAGGTGGCCACCAATACCTAGCGGAAACAAAGCTGGAAAGGCGGCAGTGAAGTATGTTGGATCTTCCCAATGATCTACGAGTGTGGCCTGGCCCTGAATTCTGTAAGAAAGCGTAGGGATCCGCTGCTGGCCGTGCCTAAGCCTACGTTTGGTGGACGATGCGGAAGGGCTTGAAACCACGCTCAACAAAGCATTCAAGAGGCGCCTGTCGGGATTTTGACATTCACCATTAATATCGGTGGAGACGGATGCAGTCATTAGTGGCGCATTGCTATCTATGTGCAGATCACTAGCTTGTGCAGCCTGGAAATCATTCTCGTAGTTACCTGTATCCAAGTGAACTGAGTAACCTTCTCGTTCATGACCATCTGGCAGATCAACAGAAATGATATTTTCTTGAAGATCGGCTGGAATGAAGTCGTCATCCCACGTGCCGATCATATCGTGGTTGATGGTCACATTATAATAAGCATGATTATGTCGTGTCAAATACTGGAGAGCCGCAATCACCCTATGTTTCCGTACTAACAGAAACGGTGATAGATCCGCGTAGGTGGCAGGTTGTTTTCCCAACCAGAAGACCCTAAATACATCGTGCAGCGTTAATGCTGGACTCGGGAGAATTTCAAGGAGCGGCTCCGGGTCTTGTGGGATGACGATAAAGTGGCCGCGCAGAGCACGGTAAGATACCGGAGACGTGCGGCCGCCGGGGCGCAGCTTCAAGACAATCCCAAGGGGATGGCACCTAGCAATCAAACACTCCTCGACTGGGGTGAGACTTTCAAGCACTGCCGGATAGTTCTGACACATTGTCATGTTCACACGGTTCAAGGCAGAAAACTTTGGAAGGGTGTTTTGAGACAGAGACTTAAGGCAGGTCAAACAGACATCCCACTCGTCATCATGTTTCCCACAGTAGTCAAGATGGCCAGCCAGTGGTTCAAGCAAAGGGTCGCCGTTCTCCATTTCTACTATCTCCGAAACAGGCACAAATGTCCCACAGGAGGAACACACACCTTGTTGCGAGGCATTTTCTATATGAACCTGATATCGGGCAACGGAAGCTCGTATTTGGGATTCAGATAGGACTGGCGGAAAAGCCGCAGAGGCTGATAGTCTCGATTCAAGATCATCCCGCAATAATTTTAAAGCGTGATGGACGATGTGGACAGAGTCAGTATCAGTGTCCCGCACACGTCTTTTGGGCTGTGGAAGCGTTTGAGACGGGCCTGGCCTCTTCGTCGGGGTGGTGGATTGGACTAAGCCAGGTAAGTAAGAAATTGACCGTTGTCCGTGAGGGACGGTTTCCGGGAGTTCATTTGTTGAAGGGCCAGGCGTAGAGTGGATCTGTGAGAGTGGGAACATTCCAGACTGAACAAACAAATCAAATGCAGCGCTAGATGGGTTAGGGGGAAGTTGTCCGCTAGATCCTGAGACTGTGGGGAGACAGGGTCTCGTAGATACAAACGTATCGAGGGTCGGTCTTGGAGCAATAGGACGAGGACGTGACGAAACGCGTTGCCTAGGGAGGTTGGAGTGGAGTCCAGAGGGTGTTTCGGAGGGGGGTACTGGAAGGGATGACGGTGTTATAGCAGACAGTATGCCAGGTTGTACCATGACGGAATGAACACTTGGCGGGGTATTGTAGGAGGGTGGAGGGAAATGAGTAACGGGTCGGGTCAATGGGGATGGCAGCATTGGAGTAGACACAAGATTAGTACCTTCAGGGTTATCATTACGACCTCTTGGCGAATCGTACAAGGGTGGAGGGAAAGGACAAGAGCGTGGGAACGTTATAGAGGGTGGTGGACACGTAGGTGGCGGGGAAACAGGATGGATAGGAACGGAACTGCAATGTGATGGGGAAAATGGTGAGGAAGAAGGGAAAGAATTGCGAAAGTAGTCGAATGGCATGCTTGGAACCATTTCTAGGAAGGCATATCAAATAGCAGGGCGATCATGAGCTCCAGAATATATAGCTGACAAGCGTTACAGGAGGAACCAGTAGGCTATAGAGCGTTCCAAAGCTTTCATTGACGGTTAGAGCAGAAAGTTTTTCAGACAGAAGAACATAGGAAATAAGAAGCGGTGTAACTGAACACGACACAGGTGCGCAGCCAACCAGAAGAAGAACTTACAGAAATGCGTAGCAAAAGCATGCAAGCAATGAACGTGAGGGTATAACGAATAAACAACAAGTATGAAGCACGGACACTAGGGTTAGGGAGGCAGTCGTTAGGGTTATAGAGGAAAGAGCCAGTAAATAAGGACTAAAACCGCCAACACTAAACCGAACCGCGAAAATCTTGAGCAGCAATCAGAAGAGGGCGTGGAACGAGGAGACAGCAAATCAGAGGAGGACGGTGGGTCCAAGTAGCGAATGAGAAGCCAGGATTTGGCTAACAGCAACATCATAGATAAAGTTTTGACTACAAGGGTATCCCTGCGGGCGAAGGTAAACCCTTCCTCTCACTTCGTTCGTTTCAGGGCATTTATTTGTCGTTTCAGGGCATCGGCGTGCGGAGCTTGTGGAGCGCGCGTCACCAGTATATGGACTGTTCTGCCACGCACACTTCCCATTCGCCTTCGCAGCTCCGGGTACCTGCCTTATTTTCGCTGTTTTCGGATTAGATAGTCTTGGCTTAGGGTTGTAGGTTTATTTGTGCATATTCATGCAGGTTGTGTTGCCTTGATTGCTTCATCATCTGCTTGTCGCCATCCATTTTATTGCAACGCAGGAATTCTATCGCCACTATACTGCCCTCTTAGTGCGTTTAGTGCGTTTGTTCTCCTATTTGCCCCTCCCCTTACTTTGGTCTCGGTAACCCTCGGAATGTTATCTAATCGAATTTGTTCTGGCTGTGGTCGTCAAGTACGTCTGGCTACGGCAATTCAATCACCGAGATATCCTGCTTGTCGATTCTCCTTGCTCCCCCCTATGCCGGAAACGCGCCCCTGCTTGCGTTACTACGTACCAATTCCCGCGGACTCTCCAAATATCCGCTGCGTGCGTTGTGAAGCTGCACGCTATCCGGAACCTTGTTATACTCCATGCTATGACTGCCGAGTTCCCTTTCTAGTTCGACCGGGTGTCATACGCTGTCGTAGCTGTAGATTAAGGAGATCAAGTGTGGTCGCCAAACTACTGGTGTTTCTTTCAATCCTACTTTAAATTCATTTCAACCGATAAGTGCTCCTATACAGACCCCTTAACCCAAATTTCGGAGGTCTTTACCTCCAGCCCCAGTATTAGAAAGACATAACATCCATTTCCTGCCAACAGCAACAAATAGTCTTCCGCCAACGCCTTCTTCTACGTCCGGAAAAAGAAAACGCGTTAACCGCTGGTCCCAAAGGGCTGGACCAACAACACCGTCCAAATCCACGTCGGAATCTCATAACCCACAGCTTACAAAGCCCATAACAGCGAATACTCCTATTGACGAAGACGAGGAAGGCACTCAGATTACGTGGGCTGACACGTTAGACGAACCCGAGAGATCACCACAAGCAAGCACCCCTACGCTAGAGCAACGTTCACAAAGGCCAAGAAAGACTTCATACGCCGATATACTTGCACTGTCAAAATAAGAATGTGGTTACTATAAGGATTCGAATACTTACGCCATCTCTCGTGTTGCGGATACAGGATGGATCGAAATCAGTTTCACCGCTTTACTCTTATGAATTCGTTCTCGAACACTATTTTGAAACATACTAACCTATCTTTGATTTATCTTGTTTCAAAGTATCGAAAGCTATTGCATTAGAGAATCACATGGTGAATGGCTGCGTAATTTACTGGAAATACTCATACCATTAATACGGGGCACCCCAATGCCACTCATCGCTTTGATATTGAGGGCATTTACCTTCATGGAGGGTAGAGATCTTAGGTCTGGTAGCTAAAGAGGAAAATATGGTAGCTGTTTTAGGCTCGAGTTTCTTTTATATGTTTGCGTGATCCAGCGCTTTAAAGTCACCTGATAATTATGAAACTAAGATTGTGCCCCTCTTCAGCTGAGTGACCTGCGATTTCCTCTTGCGCAAACTACGGAATCGTGTTGCTTTAATTATGGCAACAACATATACTGGCATCAACTATGGGGCCCAGATAGGGAATAACTATGGCACATTTACTGCAGAATTCCGTCTTCCGACGGGTAAGTCTAGGAAGGATCTAATCAGGTCAACGTCAACTTAAACTAATAGCCGCTTCTCACCCTAGAGCGACCGGATACTCCACCAAGCCCTGTCTCGACAGTCCCATTTCGTCGTGATCCAGACTTTGTTAGTCGCGACACGCTGCTTGATCAGATCCACGAGAAAGGTTCCATCGCTGGGTCCAGGGTAGCGCTTGTCGGTCTCGGCGTCGTCGGGTCAGTGCAAAGCGCCCAGCGGGTGGTTTATTACTGATACATCTAAAGGAAATCACAACTAGCCATCGAATACTCCTACCAGATTCGATACCAATCGCCGGAGATCTGGGTTTTCTGGGTCCATGCGAGTAACGCGGCTCGGTTCGAGCAAAGCTTCCGGGATATTGCAGACTACGCTAAGATCCCTGGGCGTCAAGATCCTGGCGCCGATATATTCAAATTGACTGAAAACTGGCTCCGCGATGAGAAGAAAGGTAAATGGACTCTTATTCTGGATAATATAGATGATGATTGGTTTGTCGCCGAATTTCTTGCGACCGGTCGGGAGGGGCCGGCAAACGGCCGAATTAATGCCTCAACACGGCCACTGTTGGACTACCTCCCTAGAAGTTCGAATGGTTCGATCATTATAACAACCCGCACGAAAGAGGTCGCGCTTAAAATTGTCGAGCACAAAGACCTTATTAAGGTCGAACCAATGGCAAGGCCCGAGGCACTCAACCTTATCCAAAAAAAGCTTGACCTTTTCGAGGCGAGTCAAGAGATCCTAGAGTTGGTGGAAGAACTCGAGTTTATGCCGCTTGCGATCGTTCAAGCAGCCGCGTATATCAGACATCGAGCACCCCGTTGCTCAATATCGCAGTATCTAGAAAAGCTGCGGAAGAGTGATGGCGTGGCGATAAGGCTTCTTAATTATGAGGGCGGTCATCTCTACCGAGACTGGGAGGCAAAGAATGCTATTTTGGCTACATGGCAAATATCTTTTGATCATATTCGACGTATAAGACCATTCGCGGCAGACATACTTTCTCTCATGAGCTTTTTCGACCGACATGCAATTCCAGAGAACATGATCCGCGTTCAACACCAGAGAAGGAATGACCCTTCAAATTCAGGGGAAGTGGTGAATGAATCAAGTGAGGAGGAGATGGATACTGCGTCTGAATTTGACGCGGATCAGGACTTTGAGGACGACATTGCAACTCTAAGAGATCACTCATTCATATCCTTCTATGAGGATAGAACAGTATTCACAATGCATCGACTAGTGCAACTGACTACGCGCGTATGGCTAAAAGCTCATGGACAAACCGAGCACTGGAGAGAACAGTTTGTCAATAAGCTATGCCAAGAGTTTCCGACTGGTGAATATGAGGATTGGGGGAAGTACCAGTCGCTATTTCCACATGTCAAATCAGCATTGTTACAACGGCCAGAATCCCAAGAATCTCTTAAAGAATGGGCTACGCTACTCTACAGAGGTGCTTGGTATGCGAGGGAAAGCGGAAAGATCGCAGACATGAAGGAAATGGCATCAAATTCAAGGGAACAAAGGGTAAGGTTATTTGGCATTACAGATGACGCCACCCTTAATAGCACCGAAATGTTAGCGACGGCATACTGGGTGGAAGCGAGGTGGAAAGAGGCTGAGATGCTTTCTGTACAGGTGATGGAGACTCGCAAGATGAAGCTCGGCGAGGATCATCCTGACACATTAACGAGTAAGCTCAACCTAGCGTCGACATATAGGAATCAGGGTCGGTTAGAAGAGGCCGAAAAGCTCGAGATGCAAGTGATGGAAACTCTCGACAGACAAAGCTTGGCGAGACCGACCCCGACACTGTGACGAGAGTGGCCAATATTCCTTTAGTCCGGAGATATCCAGGTCAACATACATCGCCTTTGCGGTATGAGTTGTCAACCATCGTCCTTTAAGTTCTACATACCAGTTCAAACGTCAGTGCAATTTCGAACATGCAGAGTCTGTCGGATATTGGTCCCCAATCAGAAGGCCAGCATTGTTACACAACACATAGGAAAGTGTTCAGCCCACTAGTACTGTTTCTATACACCTCGTCCATAGTGGTCACTCCTGTGGGGGATGCGTGTTGACAGAGGGAAAGAATTTGAATTCTGGCCAAGTACCGAGACTGACTAGGCATAACTCCCCGCTGTTGCCTTGTTTACAAAAGAAATGGCTCTAGACAACGCTATAGACCATACAAGACTAATACGGAAGGTATATTTTTGTTTTATATACAGCCGTAATGGAATACAGCCAAAAGCAGGGGTAAGGGGTAGAGTATCAGTAATAAGTTAGCGTGATGCGAAAGAAGGTTCGAGAAAGAGTCCATTAAAGTGGTGAAACTGATTTTCTATCCATCCTGTATTAGTCATCTCGAGAGCTCTTTTTTCATTGGCTCATTTGGATTTCAGTCGCATTTCAGCTTCATGCAAAACACTTCAACGCTGCTTTTCGCTTCCAATTCCTATTCCCCCTGGTTTTCGTTTCAGGGCCGATGCGTGCAACGCGCGCGTCTTCCAGTATTTTACACCTTATCTTAGAAGGGATTAGCGTGGTTTCGGGTACGGGCCGAGAAACAAAGCGTGAATATCCGGGGGTAAACTGTTTTCGAATTCTACTGTACAGTAATAGCGCAACAAACAAATTAGAAATCCAGTTGTTCAAATACGCAAGAGTGTTGTTAGAAAAGCGCCTATAGTATATTCTTTTTGGTTTATTTAGAAAGTATCATAAGTTTTACCCGGTTAATTGGAAATTGCGAGTAAAGCGTCATCGTGATTTCCCCCGTTACATATTGTACTATCAACTCTCCTCCGATTACGTGTGATCTTTGTCTCAGGCTCCACAACCCTTTAGTGTCACATGGTTGTACTGTTCATTTCTCCTGGACAGGTACCAGCACTTCCAGCAAGACGTTCGCCATTAGCCTCGGAAGTTGGCCGCGCTACGTCTTCACCTTGCTGTACCAGCGAGTTGATCAACGCTTCGACAGATTTGGGTTCCAAGTCATCCAGCGACATTCCTTGTTGTTTCAGGATGTAGTCCGTGGCAGACCCAAGCTTACGATTGACGTTGTATAGAAGCTCGGCGACCTTTGAAGTCTCATAAAGTTCTTTGTTGGTCTCACGGTGTGACTGTCGCTCTATGGCCAGCTCACGCTCATACTTCGCGATGATCTTTTCCGCGCGAACACTACGCGCATTGAGAGTCGCAATCGTGCGAAGGATTTCCTGTAAGCGGTCAGCTAAGGCCATAATAAGCTATATCATAAGGGCAATACCGGGTGATCCATCTCCACAGTCCTGGGGCTTGGGGTAGGAGGTCGATAGCTGGCCATTGAGTGTACAGTCGCTTACGGATGTACTGAGTTGGTTGATTTCGAAGAAAGTGTGTTCTTTACACTAGACGACCGCATCCATACTTATAGACAAATGGAGAATATGTCGCGACTCTGTTAATCACTAGGACAGCATATTTGCGCAATTTCACTTGAAAGTTTGATTGTTTGGCCAAGAAAAAACCTGCATCCGCAATGTGCCCCTAATTTTGGTGCATGGGCTTGCATGACGATTCTGTTTCAGGAATCAAATAACTGCTTAGTAGTTTATCCGTCCAGTTAACAAGTGAATGTATTGACATACCATGCTTTTTTTTCTCCCTTTAACTCAGAGCACCCAGCAATAATCGCACTTCACCATGCTATACTCACGTCTGCTACAGTTATGGATTAATCACCCGCCAGGCTTCATCTTGGCAACTAAGCTTAACATGTGGTGGGCACAACCATTTAGATCTACGGCACGCCGAAGACATTCCCCAGGCTCCCTGCTGGTTCTCAATAGCCACTGCCATCGATTTCTCAAATCTGCATTCCAACCAGGACATCAGACAGCAAGTGTGGCTAATATCTAGCGCTACCAAAACTAAAAGTGGAAAAGACAATCACGTTGATACTTCGAGATGATAATGAAGACAAGATATCGAAGCAAAGGATTCCATGGTTCTAGTTCATCGATCAAGGCAATCACACCTGGGGTGCACATATAGCTATGCTGGTGAATAAAGTTTTGAGCGTCAGTTGATGCATTTGGTGCTCAAGTATATTGGCTCCAGCGTGTTTGAAACGAAGCTTGAGTTCCACTCTATATTCAAATTGGTTCAAACCCCCTCCCAGTCTCTATCCATATGAAATTTAGAGTCCGAACAGACAAAACGGAGGATACCTGTCCCTTCTCAATGGCGGTGACACCGTCTACGGCGTTACCACAGAGGGAGATATTAGATTGCTAAACTTGAGTTGTGTCGCGAGCCGCAACTGGGAAATCAATTGAAGGTCCAGAACACATTGAGGAAGAGTTAAGTTAATGAACGTGCATGCTGAATTCTAATAAGTGATATCGGTGGGTTAATCACATGTGCTCTGAATTTTCGATTGCAGGTAGAGTAACGCTCAACCTTACCATGTAGCATGAAGGCATGACAAAAGAATACTACTTCATAGCCAGGTTGCCACCAAAGGTTTCTCCGATTAGATCTTCATCCCCTTTAAAAATCAAAATGGACCAGTGTCAATCTTCATACGAGGACAAAATCATTATCAGTGGTCGATTTGGTGGCTTTGGAGGTCGTTACGCACCCGAGAGCCAGATTGAATTTCTACAAAATCTCACAACTTTGTTCCAGAACTCCTTGGATGAAGTTGAGTTCTGGAATGAATACTGGACCTTCTTGCCAAACGAGCCGAGCCCCTTGCATCGGGCTCCTGCGTTGACGCAGTTGGCGGGGGGTGGCGATGTCTGGCTCAAACGCGAAGACCTTAATGGCTACACAAGTCCGAGCAGATACAACATTGTTGGCCAGATCCTGTTGGCGCGTAGGATGAACAAAACAGAGATTATCACCGCTTGTACGTCCATGTATCATGGGATTGAGTGCGCTACTTTGTGTGCGACATTGGGAATGGCCTGCAGCATCTACATGGGCGCAAAAGATGCCCTTAGTGGGCATGCCGAGATCCAAGAAATGAAAAGAATGGGCGCCACAGTGATCATAGTCAACAAAGGCAACATGTCACTTCGTGAGGCCAGGGGCGAAGCCCTACAATCTTCCACGGTTCGCTTCAAAATCGCCTTCTATGTTTCAATATCCGATATTGGGCCACATCCATATCCATGGATTGTTCGCACTTTTCAGTCCATCATTGGGAGCCAAGCAATGAGTCAATTGGGAGAGTCTTGTGGAAAGTTTCCAACTTGGGTTGCTGCGCCGATCACGGGAAATGGTACAGCAGTTGGATTTTTCTATCCTTTTTCGAGATATAGCTCCGTCAAGCTTCTTGCAGTGGAAGCTTTTGGCGCGGCAGCGCTCTGCTTTGGATCCCATGGGGTGTACAGTGGAGCTTTTACGAACGTCATACAGAATGATGATGGCCAAATCCTTCAGATCGACACACTATCACCGGAAATGAACTCTCCTGCGAGCGGGCCAGAGCTTTCCCGCTGGAAACAAGATGGTCAACTCAAGTGCGCATTCGCAACAAGGGAAGAGGCGCTGGAAGGACAGCGAATATTGGAGGATACCGAGGGTATTCCAGCGGGACTTGACACGGCGCACGCGATTCAGAACGTAATAAATACCGCGCAAAAGTTGGATAACGATGAATTTATTCTAGTTCTAGTCAGTGGACCTTGAAACGTGTTGTACTTTTGCGAGTTCCTCACCCTATCTACCTGTTCAAGAAAAGCACATCTGTGTCTCAGCATTATCATTATTTAACGCGAAATGGATTGGAAGTAATGTTCCGTATGCTTGATGCTGGGTCGCGTTTACCGGTTACTTTCACCTGCAAGTCGTCGTTATATCTCTGGGACTGCTACTGTACAATATAGCGGATGCGATCAGTACATATGGTAACATAAATAAGTGGAAAAATTGTATATCTAATGATCGTGCAGCACCGAGGTGAACGGATCTCAAGACATCTGGCAGCCTTGGTTCCAGAGTCGTCCATTTCCAGATACAACCAGCAGAAATCATCACAAAGTTCAGCTCTAGGCCAGCCATCAAGGTTCGCATACCAGCGCGACCCATAGATCTCATCACCATATTAATCCTTTGTCTGTTGCCATTAACCGCCAAACTCTTGTGGGAACCGCGAAGCTTGGTCCACAGACGCATTACATAGATAAAACTGCCATCGGGAACAATATTCGAAAAATTGGAGTGGAGATTCGACAGGTGGGCAATCGCGTCAATTAACCGGCTTCACCGCCTAGAGATCCGCGAATGAAATGAGTGACTTATTTACTCCGACTAGGATGTCATACTCCAAGGCCTTCCCCATCGTGACTAAATGTGAGGGATTCAGTTACATGAGGCAATTCACTTTAAACTTCTTCTTTTGGACTCAATCAAAAGGCTGCGTTCAGAGCTTCAAAGTTCTTCCTCGGCTTCCTGAATGACAGTGGCCACTTAATCCTAAAAATGAAGAAAATTTTTGCGCTCGGCGGAGCGGATATGTGCCAATGCGATATTAATCTACATATTGCATTTCTTATAATTGTAAGCGCAAGAATTAGCTGCTGATTATGTTTTGGGGCTGATGGATAATTCCGATTCAGTTTATTAACTACTACTCACTTGGAATTACTCAATCCGAATTACTCAGCCCCAATCAATCAAATCCCGTTACAGTACTTCGAACAGCTCAGTCCCAAGTGATATGCGCAGTCACTATGATCTGCAACCCAGCATTCTTTAGTAATACCGTCCACGATTGCTCAATTGCTGAATCAAAGGCTTTGCCAGCATTTTACACGATCCCGGATTTGCAAGCGTATTAATGACAGCCTTTTCATTTCAACCCATAAATTCTGATTGCACCACTACAATTTTCTACGTACGAAAAGAGTTTGAAGCCACGGCTTTCCCGTTCACTTTGGCCAGCTGGCACAATTTCCCCAAACTCTCTTGACTTGTCCCTGGAATACATCATGCCAAAAGACCCCACTGTCCCCCGGACCCGGACGGCGACTTCTGCCCCGAAGGCACGGGCCGGGGCGTCTTCTGTTCAGCCAACTCGAGCGTTTCCCCCGCGTACCAACAATCAACCTCGATCCTCAAACCAAAGAACGCAGCAGTGGCCAGCGGTATGCAGCTGCCATTATCAGATAAATTCAGATTGCGCTAACCATTGCCAGATACTTCCCCCGCGTGGCCCGGAAAAGCATCCGCAGGACGACGAGTCTGACGTTGTCCACGCCAATTGCAATACTATTTTCAAGAAGGCTGACCAAGATCGTCGACAGCTCACATCACAACTAAGGGAGGCCACGGATGCTACGCGGAGGGGGAACTCTGAACTTCTTAATCACGAGGGAAAACACGTCGATCAAGACTAGGAGGGGAAAAAACTCGATCCTACTGACTTAACAAATTTCGTTCGACTATATTCGACGGATTAGGCAGTCTACCGCTGATTTACTTTCTCTCATGAGCTTTTTCGACTGGCAGGGGATCCCGGAGGATCTTCTACGGGTGCAAGACATAGACAGAAACCATGACCATTTGGGTTTTCCGCAAGACGTTGGGAATAGATCAAGTGATGAGGATACGGATTGCTCGTCTGAACCCGACGTAGATGACGATTTTGAGAGCGATATTGCGATTCTAAGAGACTATTCCTTTATTACTTCAGGTGAACATAGCATGGTGTTCACGATGCATCGGCTTGTGCAGCTAACAGTACGGACATGGTTGAAAACCTATGGTTAGGAGGAGGAGTGGAAGGAACGTTTCGTTTACACGTACGATGGACAATCTCTTTTCAAACTCAGAAAAACACTCCACTGTAGATATCACCCACTTGACCTGAGATGCCTGTTTGGGCACTGAACTGGGAGCTGAGATAATCTCCCATCGTTGGGGCATGTGCATCAGGCAACTGGTTCCAAGGAAAGTAAGGCGGGTGGTAAAGTGTCTGCGGAGCAGCGGGTTGCAGATTTAACAACCAATTGGGGATATCCTGCATTGAAACTAGAACCATGCGTTCATCGGCCGCCTCCAAGTCCAACGTGAGATCTTCCATTGTGTAACAGTCGTTAAGGAATGGAGCTTCCGAGTGCGGGTGATGAGGGTGGTCAGTCTCGCGTATGAGTTCTACGATGACGGGCTAGACTGGAGGACTGCGGTATGTCAGATAATGTATTCAAAACCGAGGCCGAACAGGGTTGCTCACGTCCGCAAATGCTTTCTGACAGCCCTGGTGCTGACATAAGTAAGGCTTATCACCAGTGGGGGTCCGTGAATGGACAGTCAGAGCACTGCAAAATCTGAGGCCTAGCGTTCAACATATTTAGTGTGTATTTAGAATTCAATACTACACTTCCCTGGATCCCAGGCTGATCGTCCGGGGTCAAAGGCGGAGTGGTAGACCTAGAGTGATCGATAGCGTGTATCAGCTCGCTCATTGGGCCGAATATGCATGCATGAAAGTAACGTTCCTCAATATGTCATGCTGGGAGAAAAAAGTCAGAATCGCCTTAGGGTATTGAGCTTTTGGAATGATCGACTCACTTGACCGTGATAGTTTTCGTCTGGGTGTACTCTGCGAGCGCGTCCTGACCCAGCTCTCGCCCCAACCCACTCTGTTTAAATCCTCCAAAAGGCACGCTTGTGTCGAGCACACCGCAGCAGTTAATACCAACCGTCCCACTGGAAATCGCGCTGGCGATACGAATTCCGCGATTGATATCTTGGGTAAAAACAGCACCAGCCAATCCAAATTGCGTATTGTTGGCTTGGGAAATGACTTCTTCTTCATCAGTAAACCCAATGATGGCAACCACAGGACCGAAGACTTCCTCTCGGCTGATTTCAGCATTTGGAGTTGGGTCCACAAAAATTGTTGGCCGCATCCAATGACCCTGATCTAGTCAGCCCATGATCAGCCTCTTTATCGGACAATACATACCTTAGCAAACATAGCTTGCCCGCCAGTAACGAGGGTTGCCTCCTCTTTGCCGCGATCAATGAAGCCTTTTACCCTATCAAAGTGGCCCTGGTCGACGAGAGGTGGGAAATCAACATCTTCGTCAAGTGGATCGCCAAATGATTTATCCATGCTTTCAAACGACGCTTTCATCTGTTCGACCACCTGCTTCTTAATGCTCTCGTGAACATAAACCCGAGAGCTAGCAAAGCAGATCTGGCCAGATAGTACCAGAACACCGTTCACGCACCAGGGGATGGCCACATCTAGTTTTGCATCGGGGAAAATAATGCTCGGACTTTTCCCTCCCAATTCCAACGCAACACGCTTCAAATTGCTTTGGGATGCAGCTTGAGCAATCCGCTTTCCGACACCAACACTACCAGTGAAGGAAATTTGATCAATACCCATGTGCTTCGCAAGGAGACTACCAGCGAGTTCTCCACCAGAGATGATATTGAAAACACCAGGAGGTAACCCTGCTTCGTTCGCCAGCATTCCGAGATAAAGTGTTGACAGCGGAGTCTTTTCGCTAGACTTCATGATCAGGGTATTACCAGTAGCCAGGCACGGTGCAGCCTTCATAGCCATTCCCATAATAGGAGCGTTGAACGCCGTGATAGCCGCACATACGCCCAATGGCTCCCGCTGAACGATGTTGAGGAAACCATTGCTAGTAGGAAACGATTCTCCATGTATCTTACCGCACCATCCAGCATAATCTGCTCGGATCAGTATTCCTGCCTTCGAATCTTTTTACGGGGGGTTTTCTTACATCTAAAGATGCTGACTGCTTGTGGTAGCTCATACCCACGGAACAGTTTAACGGGCTTAACGTTGCACACTGCTTCCAAATGGGCGATCTTGTCGGCATCCCGCTCCAAGAGATCAGCGAATTTGTGTAAGATACTCGCCCTCTTCTCGTGGGGAAAAGCGGCCCAGCTTGGAAATGCTGCCCTTGCAGCAGTGACGGCGCCGTCGACATCCTGCTGAACTGCTTCGTGCACATTTGAGGTGACAATCGAACCGTCGACAGTGCTGCGGCAGTTGAACCGGGCAGGTGTTTGAGCATCGACATACTAAGACATAGTCAGCTCCGTATCTCGCTCGTAGTCGGAGGCTACATACTGCTCCTTGGACAAACAGTCTGGTCTCAAACGACTCGGTCGTAGTACTGTGCGTCATAGTGAGAGCTTACAGCGCAATGCCAGCTATAAAGGAAAAAAGGTTAGGGGTCAGAAGGCGGGCTCCAAAGTCTTGGTTTCTGCGGTAGCAGAATGGTTGTGTCGAGAGAAATGAAGAAGAGACTGTTAGGCTTTAAGAATACGTGGTTATGCTTCAGTCATAGTATTGCGTCAAAGACGGGCCAGGGAATGACGGTGAAGGTGGCTCCAAAGCGGGCCTGTTGTCCATACTGTAGAACTAGCTTGAACCTTAGCATCTAGACCAAGATTCACAAGGCCAGTCAGCCACAAAACACTGTGGAAACCAAGATTTTGGGTGGAGATAGTTCGTATTTGCTGTCGAAGATCCACTCCCGTGCGTGTGGGTCATGGGGGCAGCCACACTGATTTTTGCGTTGATTGGAGAATGTCCTAAACGAACGAAATCTCGATTATCATTGATCAACCTTCTCGGCTTTCAGCAAGGGTCACGGTTTTTGCTTACAATTACTTTGTTATTTTTGGTCTAATCTGCAGCCCCTCCCAAGGTCAGTAATATACTCTCATACCGCTCTTTTTCAAGGCTTTTTCAAGCTTAAGAGCAAAGAAAGTGTGTTGCCATGGACCTTACTCAGAACTCCCATGCTCTCTTAGCCTTGGGTAGTGGTATTACTCTTCACCATCTGTTCTACCGCTTGAGCGAGTGGGATACTAGATCTCTGTCCCTGTTGACTTCGTATATCTTTGTTTTTGCCGCTGGGAGTGTTAGCATTTGGTTTTTGAACAGCCAAACAAAAGCTGTCATCCCTTTCTCACCAAATGAGTTCCAAAAGCTTTGGCTCTATCACATCCTCGGTGTGTACAGCAGCATGCTGGCCTACCGAGGATTCTTCCACAGACTGGGCAAATTCCCTGGTCCTTTCTTTGCTCGGTTTTCCAACTTCTATCTGACAATGATGTCTTCCAAACTTCATCTCTACAAGGAGATTGACAGGCATCATGAGACATATGGAGACTATGTTCGGACAGGTAATGTGACAAATCCTTTTTGGCACAGTGATGTTTCTAACTATTCCTCGAATTCAGGTCCTACCGAGCTCTCAATCGCAGACCCAGCAGCTGTCCAGTCTATTTACGGTACCCAGTCAAAGACCACGAAAGGTCCTTGGTATACGTTGCTCGACCCGCGAGTGTGCCTATCATTCACCAGAGACAAGCAAGAACATGCGCGTCGTCGGAGAGTTTGGGATCACGGCTTCAGCACCAGAGGTAATATTTATTTGGACTGTACAACAAAGAATATACACTAACATTAACCCTTCCATAGCAATCCGCGCCTATGAACCAATCGTTACAAAGTACGCCCAGCAACTCGTGGGAGTCGTGGAGCGAGACATTGCCAGTCCAATTGATATGACGCGGTGGTTCAGCTACTATGCATTTGACGTGATGGGAAATCTTGCCTTTGGAAAATCATTCAATATGATTGCCGACGGCAAAGAGGCCTACTTCCTAAAGACCATTAGGACGGATATGACAAACATTGGCTATCTCAAACATATGCCGTGGATATTCCCTATTCTGATGAATATTCCGCTCCTCAACGCAAACAACCTGAGGTTCTGGAAATGGATTGAAACTCAATTCCTGGAAAGGAGTGCAGTAAGTGCACGATCGCGTGGTAATTCGGCAGAGAAACTAGGCTAATCGGTATTTACAGAATGAACCAGAGCAGCGAGATATCTTTTCTTGGATTCTTGATGCATACAAGAAGGGCCCCCAGTCAAACCAAGACATGCTCAACCTCCATGGAGATGGCTATCTTATTGTTGTGGCGGGAAGGTAAGAAAACCATCAATTTCTTTGAATATTCACTTTTGCTTACCATATCCAGTGACACGACTTCTACAACTCTATCGCATCTTTGGTTCCACCTTGGCAGTAACAAGGCTCTAGTTCAGAAGCTTCAGAATGAGATCGATGCTCTTCAGGAGCTGAATGATGATACGATCTCCAAGATCGATCTCCTCGATGCCGCAATCCACGAAACACTTAGGTTGCATCCAGTGGTTCCTTCTGGCCTTCAGAGACTCACTCCACCCGAGGGTATGACCATTGGCGAGACATATGTTCCCGGAAACACCATTGTCCAAGTTCCCTTGTACACGATATTCAGAGGTCAGTTCATTTTGGGACGCAAATTGTTATTGGTCCTAACCCAGTTTCACCAGACCCACGGGCATTCGAGCGTCCAAACGAGTTCATTGCTGAACGGTGGACTACCAAACCTGAACTGGTCAAGGATAGATCCGTGTTCATTCCATTCAATACAGGTCAGTTTTGGGGGATTATGATTGATTATAAGCACGCTAATTAAATTATAGGACCGTGGGCCTGTGTTGGTAGACGGCTTGCGCTCATGGAGCTTCGGCGAGTGACCGCAGAGCTCCTTCTCCGATATGACATTTCTTTTGCCCCGGATAAACCCAACGAGACTTTTTTGGAAGACGGGAAGGACATGTTTACCCTTGCTGCTGCACCGCTATTCTTGAATTTCACCAAGAGAGGGTAAGCTGGGATTGGAGGCTAAAAAAACTATATCTAGCATATTTTGTATGGTATGAAACTGCTATACAATTTCCAGTCACGAATCCAGGCATTGATGGTCAACACCAGTATCTAATTGTGAGATAATGAATTCCAAGAAAGCCTTAGTCGGCATAAGGAAGAAAACCACAACAGATCCCAACACCTTCACATGGTTCATTTAACTCTGTTACATATGTACCTTATCCGTGACTCAAACGCATCACCTCAGATTCTGTTGAATAATGCAGTGTACCGACCGATAAGAAGGTACAGTGGTGTAACAAAAGTATTTGACCTCGAATACTTAGGCCTAGGACCCACTTTCCTAATACTGCGAGGCAGAAACCTCGTAAATTTAATTCAATTTGATAGCTAGTATGCAAATCCTTATACTTAATAACATTAGCTATCCTGTCAGGCATAATTTCCAACAGATACTCTTAAATATCTCAATATCTAGGCCATCCTTAACGCGTTGAAATATAGCGTACATGTTATAGCGCGTTAAAACGCGAGTTAGAGTACGTACTAACAAAGTAGGCGGTATTAAAGGCGGTCAGGCAAAAAGGGGACCCCGAAGTACAGGAGGTCAAATACTTTTGTTACACCACTGTATGAAAAAGTCACTTTCATTGCCCCTATTTTTTACCAGTCATGGGGTTTTACTGGCTGGCGAAATACAATAAACATATTGATATCCACAGGAAGTATGTACCTCGACAGATTCTGCATCGGAGCTATCGACCCACCGATCTTCATCACGCCAATCTTAGTGACTCCGCTTTTGTGGGCCCCTCGTATAAGTTTAGCTGACAGCTCCACCTTCCATCCACATGGTCGATAGTGCGAGTATTGCTACTTTTCGGGCTGTTACAGTACCAAAGCAGCAGTTTTACGGTATATGAGCTAACAAGTCTCCAGAATATTCATTGATGCCCCTGTGACAACCTAGTTCTTAGGCATGTATGCCCACAGTGTGAAGGACTTTGATGCGACCACTGCCTCATCCCCAACCAACAGTTCAACCATAAGAATCAACTGAAATTCAACGCACTCATAGACGATATAATAGCGTGTATATCTAGAAACGGGTATTTAAACCTACGTCCACTTATCCGCCAGCCATATTTCCAAAAATGCGATAAAATATTCTCGGTAATAGTATATTATTCGTCACACGTACGGAGTGTATCCGAGACACCAAATTGACTTCACTACCGATTGACCCACATTTCGCCCGCGTTTCGGATAATTTATTCTACATATTCCAACGTGTTAGTCCAGAAATACGGTAATTTAACTTGAATGCGGTATATCTGTACACTCTATTCTCTATAGTCCGAATATCCATCAGCGGAAGCCTTTCTAGCGCATAATTTTTGGGCAGAGCATGTTTTGCCTGATACGGGCGATCTCCTCAGCTAAAAAACCGCAGTGATCCTGTGCATATTGGCCAATACCGCCGTATCTTTCGTCAACACATTGGAGGGTCAAAGCCATAACGTCCCTCCTGAAGAGGCGTTAGCTTTGTTTCCTCGCTGCCGACGTCTTAGCGTTTAAGCTGATGACATCAACTTACCGACACTCCGTCGCCATCTTCGCTATCCCCAAGGGGTCTTCCTCGTTTGGGTCGATCGACTCCACAATATCGGCGATTCTCGGTTGCAAGTGTTCGAGGTGGGCTTCACTTAGACTGAATTCATCTGCGATGGTATCATGTGGAACCCCTGCGAGTGAAAGCAATAAGCCTACGATAACACCTGTCCGGTCTTTCCCCATCGCGCAGTGGATAAGGCAACCACCGGCGTTGTCTCGAAAATGCTCCAGGACCCGTCGGATAATGGCCGATCCTACTTCCAGCAGGTTCAGGTATCCTTCTGCGATAACCTATCATAGGTTCAGCTCTTGGTCCTTTCAGCCACCAACGTATGCGAAGTACGTACCTCAGGTCCGGTGCTTCGATATACCTGATACTTCCTCACTTGTCTTGCCATAGAGAACACACCCTGTTTCAAAGGTAAGTGTAGCGTCTCAATGCCGAGGGGGCTGAGCGTCTTGTCCGGGGCCCCGGTGAAAATTTCCACTTCTCCGGGACTGGTCATGTCGATAATTGTCGAAACTCCTAAACTCTTCACGGTGTGCCAGCCAGCACTAGTCACATCACTTAGGTGACCTGTGCGGTAGATCAAGCCTTCGCGTATGACTGCATCGGGGGAGAGAGTGCTTCTGTATCCACCAACGCCACGGAAGTTAAAGGCTCCATCAACTTCAAGAAAGGGGTTATTGGAAAGACCGTGGTTGTAATCCATGACGCGGTAAGAGCCTTGGCAATGTCGGGTTTGTAGATGATTGAAAGTGTTGGGGTCCTGCACCTGTATCTTGAGGAACATACCTGATTTAATAGAAGTCACGATACGCCATTGGTATATTTGAAACTTCTCACCGCCCTTTGAACTATGCATTTTGTGGATAGTGCGGAGCTTTTTCGTTTTGTCCAAATACTGGACAGCAGTGAGATATGATAGACATTGGCATTGCTAGATTCAGTAGAGACAAACATCCCGAGCTGGTACTCGCTAAACAAGACCCATCAGGGGCTAACTACTCGTCATACTAGGTGATCAAGTCAAGTAGTTGTAGATCCCGAACGTATGGTCACGCCTCCAATTGGTCATTTCGTATACTACCGTAACCGCGCGTACTTCGGATTCATGGATCTGGTATTATAAGTGGAAGATTGATCGTACCAATGCCGCGTTCTTGGTGCTTTGACGCTCCACAGAACAAGGCTATACCTGCACCACCGAGTGAATAGATAGATTATGTGTGCATGTCTAGCCTAGGGAGTATGTTGATCATGTGACCCTTCCTTTAGCTCATCAATTGTTCTCAGCTTTCTAGCTCTTAGCTCTCTTCTCTCTCTACGCATCTCATTATAGCATTTTCTGAAGTGCCGGATATCGTAGATCCCTTCTTAGAGAGTAAAACTTTATAGCCCTCCATCGCTACCCACACGCCCCCACTCCAAAAAGCCAACGAGCTGAGTTTGGCTCCATAAGAGAACGGTGCGAGCTGAAGAGTTGAGCTCTTAAAAACTAAAAAAAGTAGTGATCATCCAATGTTTTTTGTGTAATCCATAATCTATGACATATAAGAGTGATGAGTTGGAATAGAGTGTCCTTCACCTTGCTGCACTTTCAATTCATAATTACTTAATTCTATTCTCTGGATCTCTGAACCAAATACAGTCACAATGACAAAAATTGCTCGCCCCGACTTCGATGCCACTTTGGCGTCCCTCACTCAAACCCTTGTGGATTACTTCCTCAGTATCGGGCTCCCTGCCGAGGCTGTCGAGATGTATAAAAAGGTACAGCCTAGGAAAACATTGTTGCGCGCTCAAAACTAACTCAATTATCTCTACTAGTGCCTTCTGCTCAACACACAGGGTGGAAAACTTCATCGTTGTTGGACAGTTCTTGATACCGCACAGGCCCTCAAGGTCGATGCGTTGACCACCGAGCAAACACAAGATCTGATGGTTCTGGGATGGCTAGTCGAGATACAGAACGCGGCTTACCTTATCTGGGATGATATTATGGACGGCTCGGAGACTCGCCGTGGACAACCCTGCTGGTATCGCCGCGATGAAATCGGGCTCATGTCTATCAATGACGGCTGCCTCCTCGCTTCGACGGTATTCATCGTCCTGAAAACTCATTTCAAAGATCACCCGGCGTATCACGATCTTGTCGAAGTCTTTCGAGAGACGGCCCTTCAAATTGAGATTGGTCAGTCTTATGACCTCCTCACAGCTTCCCCTCACTACGGAGGGCTCAGCCAGTTCACCAAAGAGAAATACGAGTTCATCATCGAGCGAAAGACCGCATACTACACTTCGTACACCCCGATGTCGCTGCCCCTTGTTTATCTTCAGCTTGCCACGCCAATGAATCTCAAAGAGGTGTACAAGGTGGCCTTGTCCCTCGGTCAGTACTACCAGGTACGCAATGACTACTTGGATGTCTATGGGGATCCTAAGCAAACGGGCAAAGCTGGTACCGATATTCAGGAGAACAAATTGACTTGGCCCATCCTAGAGGCCCTTGATCGGTGTAATAAAGATCAGAGATTGACCCTGGAGAAGTTTTATGGAAGCCAAGATGACCAGGAAGTTGCCAAAGTGCTCGCTATTTTTGATGAACTCAACTTGAAAAATGTGTTCGAGCAATGGGAGAACGAGAAGATTGCTTCTACAATTAGTATGATCGAGAGTATTGACGAGTCAGAGGGACTGAAAAAAGACGTCTTCAATGTCTTTTTGGCCAAACTTGATGGAGATGCTCTGAGGCACGTCGGCGTTGCAGTTAATTAGTTGGAATCGGCGGTTACTTATCATTGTTGTTAATGCAAGTGCAAGTATTTCTACCATTATATATAAACTATTTCTTCTTTGTCAAAGTAGTCGTATGCTGATCATCTTATCGTTTAGCATGGGTGACTAGGAAAGAAAATCTCTGCATATTGAGATGTTCATATTCGCCGCCCGGCTATTCACCATATCCCCCACACAATTCCACATCTCACATCAACAAACAATATACAGTCAACTCCCCCTTATAGTACACTGGACTATCCAAGAAAAGATATGTACAATAGGCGAATGGTACAATGGGCGGGAGGATGACGTATACCATATTGCCTATTTAGGACTAGTTTTGCTTCCATCCCATCATCTCATCTAGGGTCACCTGACGCTTCTCGTCCATCTGGATCCTGTGTCGACTTCTGTGCGGGACAGTACGGACTAGTACGGCAAAGTACTTGAGAGTGTGATTTTTATATACTATAGAAAGTGCAGAATAAATAGGGGGTTGAGCTTAGTAAGCTCCACAAACACAAGCACAAATCAGGCATACATGATAGCTGAATATCTCCGAGCACACTAGTACTAATGCGGTCCACTATACTCGAGATCCAGCTAAAATCGCTGATTAAGCCCTCAACCTGTTGTACATGGGCTTGAGTGCTCGTTTCTTTGTTGCCAACCCATAGTAGGATATACTGTAGATAACCTAATATGTCGGAATTAGACGGAAGCTCAGGGGCAGGCCCATTATCGTCGATGTCCTGATCTTCAACTGTGCAGTTGGGGCAAATATATATATCTAGCCCATCCGTTCCATCATCAGGTGCAATGTTTTCATCTTCAGGATTCAAAAATTGATCATGGCAAAATATCATCATTACAGAGCTTCTCAATCGCATGGTCATAAAGATTTCTGATCTCATCGTGTAATCCAGGTTCAGAAAATGGGATAGACTCGATTATAGGTGTTGTCTAGTGATAATAAAACTAATAATCGAACGGGTGTACTGTGATGAACACTAAGTAACAAATTTAATTCAAGATCGATCACGAAGAACTAAACAAAGTACATGTATGAGTGTACTTACATATTCTTCGCTCCTACTCCTTAATATACCCCTGGGGAGTAGATCGGGAGGCGCGGTTACGTGTGCACGTTACCGAGCAACAGCGGCCACACTAGCAAGATACAGGGATTCTCGATCCAGTTCGAGAGTTCCTTGTTGAAGCAAAGAATTTATCTTGGCCCGTGGTGGAAAGATATCCAAGTAAGTCCAAGAATTGACAAGATGAGAAAAGATGATTCAAGTCCAAGAGAGCTTTCTGGGTTCTATCCTTCCCCAACCTGAGATGAAATATACCCGGGTACCTACTGACATACTTTACGATGTTGATCTTAAGGAGATTTTCAGCTCCATAAAAATAACGCCACTTCAGACTATTGAAGTGATGATGAACAGACCGAGGTCATATCTATGCCCTTATTGGGGTGTTACTATGTGACACCGAGAGGGAAGTGTGGGGCATAGAAGGCACGAATACGTATGTCGACTATCAGGCGCCAATAATTTCGATCTGGAGATCATCGGTACTGCGTGGATAGACAGCATTAGTCAGGCCTGACTCTGCCGATCGTCATGCATCTCCACCCCAGTACTTGACTAGTGCCTTAGCGGGGTTCTATCTGATTCTACTTATTATCAATTTTATTGGTGTACCACATAATGTTGAATGTAATATACAGCATTGAAGTTCCGTCGAGTAATTATTCCCTGCCCAAGTCTGCGGATGAGAAAGAAAGACGTAATATGAGCCGAAACAACAAGCTTCATTCGCTCTACTCAGTTCACTGTTTCTGTGCCAAGAAACGCCACTGGAAGCTGATATTTCTGTTGATCTCGGAAGTCTGTATCCATCATGACGGGTTCTCATGTATAAAGTCACGGAAATACCAAACTGTCGGAATTATATGACCCCCTACCCCACTGCTGTATTTTGGGGTTCAGATTAATAAATTATTCACTTGAAGCAGTCAATGAGCTCAACATTGTGTGCCCTCTGTAGTAGTGATGGTGGTCTAACTGTTAACTAGGGTGCGTGTATGCCTGGGATCTGAGGTGTCGATGCCCCACTTGATAACTACTCTCCTCCCTCTCCTCCCTCTTTTATTTTTCAGGATCGAGATATAACGTCAACTATTCCTTTATCCTTCTCTCAGCTTCTGTGATTTGCTCTGTTAGTCCATTAGACGAGTTCCTCTGCGTTTTTGAGCGACCTGTAGACGCTCGTCATGAAGCTCAATCACTGGTGATCAACGATAATATATAGATTTCCGATTATTTTCGTTGAATAGCTGAGAGGAGTCAGTATGAATAAAAGTAGCGGTGAGGCAAGACGGCACAGACATTCTAGTAGATTGTCGATATTCGTATACGCATCCACACCCCGGTGGGGTGTGGATGATTTTGGTTTCTGGAAGGTATGACTGAGGAAAAAGCTGTATGTAATATGGGGACCTGTGAATTACTGTATCGGTTCGTTTTGCCTGTTTACGTTTAGCGCCCTAATACGCTGCTTTGTAACCTCTCCCGACGTCGCCTCGACATAAAAGACCAGACCTCGCCCTTTCAGCCTCTCTTCTCCTTCTTCCCCTCCCTGGAACTCCTCTATCTTGCACTCATCGCCGCCCCCTTTCTTTCCCTCTCGCCCGCCACCGACCACTGCGCCTTATTGTAACCCGACGTACTGCCCTTTTTATTTTATTGGAGATGCCGCTCGATCCGAGCCCTAGCTTGTTCTCGCTCCTCGGGCTGGAATGGTAATTGCATAGGAGCAGAACCACTGGAATGATCCAGCCCGCAGCGGCATCGTGTGGCTTTAGTTCGATACTCCTACTCCTTCCCTAAAAGAGTGACTGTGTACTATGCTACGGAGCTATCTAGGTTTTCCTCTGCTAGTGAGCCTTATTCGTCTCCGATACCGCCGGCCTTTTTTATATCTGTAAAGTGCCGGTGTACCCTCCACGTCGCATGCCCCGCTTCGTCCGCTCTATCCGAAGTTACATTGCACACCCCCGGCATCACGGATAGCTCTTAGTTGCCTAGCCACGAATTCGACCTAGTTGTCGTTATCGTCGGTCTCTCCGGTTCCCTCTACACTAACCGATAAATATTCGAAAGCATAGCCCGGTGATATAGGCCAATAGCGAAAATACCGCACACACCCCTAACCTCGGTCGGTGCTATATCTTACGGCTAATGCTAGACAGGCGACTACGACACTATATCATGATTATACTATCACTTCCCTAATAGAGAAACGGCTTAGAATGGGCTAATGACTAGTGTGGGCATGCATCGTAAGGGTCATCAGCGAGCGTAGCGGGAATCCTTACTAGTGAACTATAGCCCGTGGTTGTTGCCTATGAAACTGGAATGGTCTGGCTTCCTTGGATGCAATGGCCTCGATTGTAGGATCTGGTCGAGATCGTCTGCGCTTGGTAGAAGGAGGGCTCCGCCGCCTTATAGGCAACCATGGTCTATAAGAGACTACAATTCCACCAAAATAGCAAAACTGGAATTCGACTCCCCTTAAAACTCTCCTCCTCCCCTGTCCCCTGTTCCCGGTTCCCTGCTCCCTGTTCTCTTCCAGTTTCCCTTTCTATGAGTGACGACAGTCACCGCATCCCGAAGACTTTTTAGCCGTCTCTTTCATACTATATGTCGAACGTGAGATTTCGCATGGAATCATTTCGACCATAAGCGCAACTACAAACGAAGGTCTGGAAGCTCGCGTCGGAGGTCAATGAGTCAAAGCAAAAGACACAAGATCTAGAGAAGCGCTTTGATGAGGCGACCCTGGACAGCAGAAGTTATGTATCACGGCAAGAACATGAGAAGACATTGAAGGACTTGCTTGGCGCCTCTTCTTCCGTGGCCAAAATGATTGAGTCGGGTTTGAGTGAGTCTCATAACGCATTCGTGACCACATTCATGCCTGATTCCGATGTGGCTCAAGTGCCCTTCGTGGACCAGTCCGAGCAGTTCGGGATGCTCGACAACCCGATTTTGACGAATATGTGGCAATGCAATGATACCCAAGATAGCCCTCTGACTTTAGTTCCCCGCGAAAGAGATGCAGCTTCCACTCCATCTCTCCCGATGCGTAGTTTACCGCGATGGGTCTTAGGCCAAACCTTTGCCATGTGGGGTTGTCGTCGTCAACCACCATGTATTGAGGAGAATCTCTATAGAGCTCGGAGTGCAACAGAGGGCGAGACGTCCGAAGATGGTTTGTAATTGGAAGTACACGAGATCAATTGCATGTTCCCAATCTAGATACTGTAACAAAGACTCTGCCTGTCTCCTCCCCGGGGCCGGTACTAAGTGGTGGTACAAAGCGACCTTAGCTCTGAAGGTTTGGCAAGGTCGGTGCCTCATTACTCCTATTGTATGACGCACGACATCACGCGGGAGCATGCAAGTTATTCGACCTTCGTATGTCGGCCGAAATCTAAAACAGACTGCACGGTCACGGACGGCCCACCTAGACAGGAACAATTCTATTCATTGGACAAAGACAAGACTGAATTTCCCGCCTTTTTTCATGACTTTCGGTAGCTAATGGGGGAAGGGAGATTTGTACTTCTTGAGGGTCATGGATCGGGTGGGCTCGGCACAAGCAGCGCGTGAATTCAACTATTGACTCTCTAGTCGCTCCGGAAGGCTATATTCACACAAGCTGAGCCCAAGGAATAGGAAGCTGGCTATGAACTGTATTGATCATCTTGAACTTATTTACTTTGTAGTGTGCTGATTGGCTGGGTCCGCGATGCACACAGAAAGCATTCCTTTCTTTAATCTCTTCGACCATGGTGCGCGTTTATTGTTCGAAATTCATCATTGGTCTCTATTCATCACTGAGAAATGTGATGGTACCAGCTTTCCGTAATGTCTAGTTGAATGGCATATTCTAGAAAAAATAACAATTCAAATGACTTGGAATGAAAGCTCAATGTTGTCTATGAATTCAGAGGGTTACACTACGGCACTTAAGAAGCGAATGCTTTTGCTATAGATGGAATGGATTAATCGCTAACAGTCGGTTGGTGACCGCAACGTAGTGTGTCCAATTCGCATTTGGTGCGCGTCTCGTTTCTTTGGCACTAATCAGTTAATTGGATTGTGTCGAATTTGCGAAAAGTAAAACAGGGTTCTAGGTCAATTATGCTATTAACGTTCCGGTTGTTTTCACGACATGGGAAAAGTTTCCTGCTAATATATATATCTGATAGGAACAAGGTGTATCCACATTGGCACTAAACTCCTCTAGTCATCTCTGTCCTATCTTGTTGTCATCAGCTTCCACTTTCAAAAATGAATGCTCGCTTTGTAACATCACTTTTCCTCCGCTCCTTTCGTGGCTATCACTGCTTGGCAGAGACATATCGAACCGGTGCATCTTGTGATATCAGCGCTGAACTGCCTAGGTCGTCCGTGGTGAGTTATATCACTATGAATGTGCTACACAACTTTCTGATTTGTAAAGCCTCCCTAAAATCCATCCTTAAATAAGGCATCTAAGGAGATGATGCTCTCTTTATTCCAAGGTTATCGGCCTGTCTTCAAACCTCACCAATTAGGATGGGAGGTAGAATCTGCACTGCTCCTAAGCCCCTCACAACGCATGTGCTATTATGATGGTAAACTTTTCGGTGGATACGTGGCGTTCTTGATGGACCGGATTCTCGCCGATTGTTGTAAACCAGCATTCACAGCATATCTCAACACATCGTTCTTGCTTCCTGTCCCACCCACTGTACCTATAGTGTTAAGGGCATGGCCGGAAAAGGTCGAGGGTCGGAAAATCTTCCTCAAAGGATCTGTTCAGATTCCAGGAACATCGTCCAATGAGTGGCTCGATGCGATTAAGGCGGAAGCTTTGTTCATCCAACCAAAGGCCTAGAGCTCAGAAGCGGTGCACGAAAAATAGGGCTGAACGCACCCCGAGAGGCATCGATAAACCTTACTATGCAAACAAGAATACCGGCACATGAATGGACGATTCAATTATGGGTAATTGGCGAGATTTCCGTCATGAAGTCCGGGGCACTGAAACAGGGACATTGAGCCAATATAGAGCCGGTGGACTTTTGATGATCGAGAATTGACATATATTTGAGGCGACGTGATCATGTCTTACAAGTCTTGCAAGTGGAAATATATATACAGTACACGTATATGTCAAATCTGACCCCGCATCCAGTCATCTGGATATCGCACAGTTTTTTTTGCTGTTGAAGTTTGAGTTTGAGTGAAGAATTTTCCTCCACAATTCTTTTAAGCACTGAAATCGTAACATCTGGTATACCCGTCATAATCACCATACTTTCATAGTAGGCGAGGAACTCCTGCGCGTTACATGAAATTGACTTAATTATGGCGTCTCGAAGCTCTGTCTTAAGAGGCGGAATGGTGATCCAGATTTCTCGCACAATCAATGGAAATCCTTTTGCGTTTTTGTCGATCCAATCCATAATTCGAGATCTCGCGAGGGTTTTCAGACACGATATGTCAAACTTGTCGGCCGCTATGAACACTCCGAGGTTGTTCTATATAGCTGCATGAGGTTCTATATTATTACCAAAAGGGCACTTCCGATTTTGAAAGTGCGACCTATCTGTGTCTTCGTAGTCTTAGAGGTATAGAAAAGAGACAACCCGTTGAATAGTTGCTAGCTCGTCATCTGGTAGATTAACATGTGATAGAGAAGCTTCCTTATAAAAAAGTTATCTATATGTAGCGATCACGGCAAACTTGTCGCATTTACTTTGAATCCTCCTTTGACCGTAGCGTCAAAAAAGGGTGATTGGGAACAGACAATCGCACGATATACCTAGAACTTCTGTCCCTCGCATGATATCGTTAGGTCTGAGTATCTGCCTGAATCCAGAAGGCTTTGCAAGATTGGTTGAAGATTTGGAAACCCCGAGATTGATGTAGCTATATGTAGGTCAAGTTTAACTCGATTTACCGTAAATCATTCCATACTGTCCTTCCCTTAAGAAGCCTTGAGTACTATGACGTTAACACTAATTTCGTTCGCTACGGAGTGGGTGTAACCGAAATTAGATAGTATTATACACTATACAGCTCTTATTCGTTTAACTTTATTCCGTATAACATTAGAACGTGATTTAAATACGAGTATAACCAAATCTGGTTTAGCGGATCATGTGATTTAGGTTTGAAAGAGAATCAATGTATTTCCGACGTAGAAGGCGATCTCGGGCGCTATTATACTAGTCTCTATAGAGAAACCATTAGACGCTAAGCACAAAAGCACTATGTAGCAAATACGCTATGCAATAGGGAGCAATCCGGCCTCAAGAAATTATTTTCACTTTTTAACATATCTTAGATATCGCAAATGCTTCTACGCATACCAAAAAATTACTCAAATTGAATTTTGATGTCTTTCCTTAGTTAACCTGCTTTAGATTGGAACCATAGTGGCAGGAGGCCTTTCTTTCGACAGTGCATGGCCGACCACGTAGTAGCGCTGCGCGCCGCCTACATATAGGGTGGTGACTAGTACGACATGCATGCGAATATTGAGTGCGGCATTTTTGTTACATAGGTCGCAAAATTGATGTGCTCATAATAAGTGCTAACAGCTAACAGATGTCCTATTTGTTACTTTTAATATATACGAAGACAATAACGTGCGGCTTCGTTCTGAGAGAAAGCTGATCTAGTGCTATAGCTTGATAACGTGTAGTTAACTTGACCACCACGCTGTAGTACATATAGAGTCAGAACTATGAGTGGATCGACATATACCACCTAAAAATAGTGGGTGTATTGATAGTTGAGATAACAGTACTTTCAGCTCAATTTCTAGCTTGCTGTGTCTATCTAACAAAGTCTGAATAGTGAGGCTTTTACATTTTAGTCGGACTTGAAAATACACGCTGGTCAGCTTCTCGTGAAATATAAATTGATCCATCTCTCGCGTCTAGTTCAGAAAAAGGCCAAGTTTAAAACCCAAAAAAGTACCGATCTTTATGTACCCCTAGACTTTTTGCGCTTTAACTTCAGTTGAAGCTACAATACAACTCGAAGCTACAATACAACTCGCTTCAAAGAAGCTATTACTACTGTCAGTTATCTCCATGGACAACAGGCGCGGGCGCTAATATGGTTAGCGCAGATTTAACAATAAAAGCTAGCGTGGTTTGAACCACAAACAGCGTTTTCCAACATGTCTACCGAGCAGACTGCTATGCAGGAGACTGTTAGAGGACCTAAGAGTCCCCCAACTAACCTCTAAGGTCAGCTTGCTGCACCTGAGCCTTCTACGACTCAGACTTCGGACGTCGAAGGATTAGCAGGGCCTCCTGCAACGACCTAGGGCTCTGCTTCCGTAGTAGCGGTCTAAGCTTCCGCTCCATCACCGCCGGGGCAATCGACTTCCACTTCTAGGAACGTACAAGGCGACATAGACATGACAGAGGCAGGGGGATCAAATAAGATCAGTATTTCCGACCGTCAGCGTTTGATTCAGGATGTCATTAGCGTTCCCCGTGATGCGACTGCAATCATGCGTGCGTGTGCACAAAATATTCCTGATAACTGCGATATAAATTACAAGCAACTGAAGGTTATTCTCCACCCTGACAGGTTTGTGTCGCCAGCAGACAAGCCAAGCGCAGATGAAGCATTCAAAAGTAAGGCACATAAGAGGTTAGCGAAATTCTGCTAACCAGCTCTTAGGGGTATCGTGGGCCGAAGGGGAGATTGAAAAACGCTTTCCTAGCGACCTCGACAGGAACCATCATTTCTTTCAGGGAGCAGGATCTAATGCCGAGCCGCATGTTGAAGGGGAGCTATCCTCGTATCACAAACAAGCCTATGAAGAAGCCACGCCTTACATACAATCTCTTTACTTTGGCTTACAGAAAGACCTACGTGTGAACCTTTACCAAGGACCTATTCCCGCAGAAATCCGAACGCCGGCTCAAAAGCTTGACGTAATCAACAAGAAAATACAAGAGGGAAACTCCAAATTACAGAAAGAATCCGAGCTCGGCATCATCCGCTACCAGGATCTTTTGGGGATATGGAGACTAATGTTTCTGTCACCGGAACTCGCACCTTCCCAAATGTAGGCGATAAAAGCATACTGTGACAGATTCCATTATCTAAGCGAATGGGCAACCCCCCACTAAAAACTCGACAAATAGTTCTTAAGCACCGAACTCGCAACCTCACTCAGACCATACGAAGATTTCGTAACCTGACTCGAACAGCGCAGGCTTCCAGCTACAACACGTATCTGCCGGGAGCCGTATGCGCACGATTGCTGTATTGCCTCGAAGGGTCGTGCGCTCAATAAATCCCGGTTATACATTAACCGGAGAGAGAATCCGCATGATTTAACACCTTGGACTCATGGGTGCGCGTTTTGTAGTTGAGGACGCTAACGGTAGAATTCGTCTTGTGTCTAGCTCAGCTACTGGAGGTCAACTGGCTATTGATGGAGCAGAGTCTGCCGGAGTCCCTAGTATCCTCCGAGGGGAGGAGGCTGTGAACAACCTTCGCAAAAAGATTCGAGCCGGGTTTGGTGGCACACACGGTCTGAATTGGGTAGCCGTTGGGGAAGTAGATTCCACGCATGATAAGTCTCCATTTATCGTAGTTGGTTTCTTCTATGAAGGCTCCGGTGGAAATCCTCCGTTATAGGAGGTTGGCCTCTCGCGATCGGCTCTCAAAAAAATTCTCTCACCAAAGGAAGCAGACAGACTAATTTTAGAGGCTTTGACTTATGATCCTGATATCGCTCTGCAAGATGCCATCTCGGGCCTGTCTGGTCTAAGTTTGAAGTCTGGCGGACATTCCACATAGCTTCCCGACTTTGGACTTCCCGCACCGAGAGATACGGGCTACCTCCCTGGCGTCCCTAATAGGCCCTCACAGCTCGGCGTTGCTTCTAACGTGTCCTAGCTAGCGTCGTTTTCATATCCTGTCTAACAGCACCAGTCTGGTTATAGCTAGTAGGGAAACATGCCATAGCTAAGCATAAAATAGTGACATCGGACAGTCTCACAAGAGAGCACGGAATGGCCGAAAGGACGCCTAGTGGGCATCTCGCAGGATCTATATAGAGCTAAATATATGAACTTTATTATCTCATGCTTTACAAATTGGACAGACAGCTAGATAAGTTAGTTAAATCGTGCAACAAGCAAGTCAATTAAGTAAATCCTGATATTATCCCTTCATATTGGTGTACCAGTATGACTTGGTCCTATCCAAATGATATTTAACGTCGCATGAACATTTTCAGAAAGAACCACCTTGCTACTAAGACTGCAGGCGTACGTGTATGAGCTTAGTGAGCAGAAATATGGAGTACAAAGTTCCTATAATACCTTAAGGCACTAAAAGCCTTCTGAAGGTACTGATGTGCGTTTATACTGGAAGCAGGTGGTACAGAAGCTTTGAGATAGCTTATAACTCAATCTGAAATGATAGCTTGCAGTGTTATTCATTTCTATTTAAGAAACAAAGACATGTGAACCCCTTTATAATAACTACATAGGCACTCGAAATCATGCAAATTGACATTCATTGCAGTTGCAACCGAGCTTTAGAAGTAGATAGAGTCACGCGCGTACTGTACCACAGCAGCACCATTGTTTTAATTATAGATAGGAACACTCGGGCACATTAGAACATGAGGGGGAATTAACGGTTAATGCTTCATCTAGTACCTTTTTTAGGATTCACGACATTAGGAGTTTCTGGTCGGATTAGTGCGACGTTGTCGGAATCCCAGCCGAGAAAATCCGCCATCTTACGCATTGCATCCTTTTCAGCATCAACTTCTTCCCATAAATCTTGTGAGAGTTGAACTGCTAATGCTTGTTCGTCCTCGCTCTGAATGCGTGCTAGTTCGTCTGGGCGGAGAAGACCGACATCAGCATTGAAGAGAAATTCGTGAGGATCAAACGTAAGTTGTCCAAGCATAAGAGATTTTACCATGGACTCCGACGCCTCGAATTTACGCACGGTCCCTAAACGAGTTTTCTGAGAGAAAGCGACGAAAGCTTTGATCTAAGAATTTGTGAAGGACTTGCTGCACCTATTCATAAAGGTTAGCCGAGCCACGCGATAAACCAACGAGAGACATACATGACGTTTACTAAAGAAGTATTGCCTAGTAAAAGGATGCCGACTCCTAGAGTACTAGCGAGCCTCCACCACCATCTGCCGCGGCGCACATAGTAGCCTGTGATCTTATCGCGGCGGCACTGCGGTGATTTTGAAGAGCGAGGATCGTCACGGTAAGCAGCGAGGATGCTATTCAATACGTGAGATGTATTGGCTTTTGACGAGATACAGGAAATATCTTTGTTAGGGTGTCTGCAAAGCTCTTCGTAGTTGAAGTATAGTAATACCTGCCTAATACGCCTTGCGATGGGGTTCGAATAGGGTGAATTCTCGTCGTTATCAAGCATTCGAAGGTAAACTGCAGCTGCATCTATGCCTCTCTATTGCACCGGAAGTCCTAGCGCCGGCAATCCAAGTGACTTATACAAATTCTAATAGTCGAATAGGGGACGTAGTATTTGATCGAGATCCGTTGCGAGGAGGGGATGGGCGCTCGCGTCGAGAACGCCTTGAGCTTGGTTGTCGTCGAGCTTAGCATCGCTAGAACATAGCAAATATTTCAAAGTGTGCTCCGAGGAATTGAGCGCTATCTGAACGGCGGGACAGTCTTCTCTGGTGCTGATAAGCTCATTCATGCTTTCTGGCTGGCTAGCGACGTGGCGTCCGGGTTCTAGAAGGACAGATTGCTGCCTCAAACCGAAGTCATCAACGCCAAAAGAAGGCAGTTTCGGATAGCATGAAAGTCTTCTATCGAAACCAGGAATGTTGGTGTGCTCCGGCAAATTCAGGTAATCCATCCACGACTGAGAAACAGCTAAGATTGATGATGCATCGGGTGTTGGACAAGGACCGACAGGAGGATGAGATGTTTGACTCTAAGCGGATTGAATGGCGTCGGTGGAGGGGTTCTCTTCGATGACGGTGAGCAGTTAGATAAGGGGAGAAACATCGGGATCGAAGTTAGTATTACCTGATGATACAGAACTATCCTGAGCGACTTCTGATACTAAAAATTCCTTTACGAATCCAGCATTCATGAGTGCAGCACTCACTGTGGACACTTAGGGCTTCGTCAGCTTCCGGAGATCGTCCAAATAGCGCCCGAAGTCCCGAACGAGCTATTGAAAGTTAGGGCTAGATATGGTCTCTTTAACCGGAAACTTACTTTTCGAAGCTGGTTCATATCTAAAGCAAGAGGATTTATGGCTGGCTCATATTCCTTATCGGTCAGCTATCAGCCGCTATGGGCGAGTAGAAAGAGCTCACCTCAAATCTGACCACGACAGAGAACGAAATTTGGCAATTGCTTCGATGTGTTGATGAAATAACCGATCTATCAGTTGCACTCAATATGTGCCATCGGGTAAAGCCGTCTGACTTGGCCCACTGCAAAAGTAGTACCTTCTGGAGAGTGATTAATTGTCCGATCTGCTCCAGTCTTTTGCCAAAACGGTTTACCAGCTATTTTCAGCATTAGCACAATCTATCTGTAGGGCGTGTTTAACTCACCCTAGGCGAAGCACCTTCATACCTCTCTTGTCCGTACTCCGAACAGGTATCCTTTTAGAGAAGTGAGAGAGCAGGACTACGTTCAAGGGACGTACACATACCTGGAGGCCGATTATGAAAGACGTCATTGTCATGGGATCAGCCCACAAGGGATATCAGGTATTATGAACGAGTGGATATAGTAGTTCTCGAAATCGGCTTGACCAGCATACACTCAATCACTCTTTTCTGGCCCCACCGCCAAGATGTTAGCGCCGATCATTCATTGAGCTGACTGTATTAAATTGAGGCAACATAAAATGCACCTTGTATGGTACAGTATAGTATGTCACACCGTAAGATTACACGAGGCAACGAGAATTCAGTGGAATTCCATGGAAGCCGATAGTGGGTCTCGAAAATAAGAGGTAAGAGGGGAAAACAAAAAAAAAAATCATTTTCGTCTTTATACAAAACTTGAAACAGTAAATCCGCCCTGATGCGTGTCCCCGAGCAAGCGTATCACCATTAATCTTGAGACAGCTGGGCCGAGACTCAACAGGAAGCCAGTGAACCTTTTATCAATCATATTATCCACTGCTCATGCTCAATAGAAACAACTAGATTCGGGTCAGGCGGGTGAGATATAGGAATATCACAACTAAGACTGTTATTTGGACTCCCCCTCTGACATAAGGTTGCTTAGGAAGGGTCACCTGATAAGAGGAGGGCCAAGCGTTTTAGCTTGCGATTGGCAACAACATCACATTGTACCAAACCACCTCACCTATATCCCTATGCCTATGGCGCCTACAAGTGGCACGAACTCTGGACGTCAAATAGGGATTAATAATGGCACTATCAGTCTACAGTTTGACCCCGTTAATCTCTCTCCTGGTAGGTTGAGATGAAGCTATGCTAGGGAATTCCCACTAATACTGTTTTCCAATCTCAGAACAAATCGAAAATCGGTTAGACCGAGCCTGCCTCCGGGATTTACAGACGACCGACCCTCGCCACGACAAGGAACGTATCGAGACGGTCAATGGTGGACTACTGAAAGACGTATATGTTTGGATCCTTGACCATGCCGATTTCAAACGATGGCGCTACGAGCAACAGAGCCAGCTGCTCTGGATCAAAGGAGACCCTGGGAAGGGTAAAACAATGCTCTTGTGTGGAATTATCGACGAGCTGGTTAAATCTGCCTTTGGGGCTTCTATCGTCTCCTTCTTTTTTTGCCAGGCAACCGACATACGGATAAACACAGCCACTGCAGTCCTTCGCGGCCTGATCTTTATGTTGGTTGATCAGCAGCCATTGCTCATCTCCCACATACGGCGACAGTACGACAAGCGCGGGAAGCAGGTCTTTGAGGATATTAATGCGTGGGAAGCTTTGTCAGAAATCCTTAATAGTATCCTCGAGGACCCACTGCTACAGAAAACCTTTTTAATTATCGATGCTCTCGATGAATGTACTATCGGTCTCAATCGACTTCTTGAACTTATCGCCCAGAAATCATCTGCATATCCACATGTCAAATGGATCGTTTCCAGCCGTAACTGGCTAGCCATCGAAAATGCTCTTGATGCTACATCCCAGAAAACAAAGCTCTGCCTTGAGTTAAATGAGACATCTGTTGAGCAGGCCGTCACTGCTTTCATCCAACACAAGGTTCGCAAATTGACAGAAACGAAGAAATACACTGCCGAAATCCGTAATGCTGTTTCACAACACTTGTTATCAAACGCACATGGTACCTTCCTTTGGGTTGCCTTCGTATGCGGGAGTCTCAGCAGAGTCCCGAAAAGACACGTCATAAAAACATTACAAAAAGCTCCTTCTGGCCTTGATGAGATTTATGCGCGAATGCTACATCAAATTAATGCCTCGGATGATGCCGAACTCTGCAAGTCTCTCCTTAGTGTTATCGCGACTGTTTGCTACCCTATGACATTGGATGAATTAGCGTCTTGCATTGACTTTCCTCAAGACATTGCAGACGATCACGAGTCACTGGAAGAGATTATAGCCCTGTGTGGCTCTTTTTTGACTCTCCGTGGACTCACGGTCTCTCTAATTCATCAGTCGGCCAAGGATTTTCTATATCGCAATCAGGTGCTAGGACTAGACCATCCGGGCACTCTAACGAGCATGGGCAACCTTGTAAATACTTACACGAACCAAGGACGATGGAAGGAGGCAGAAGAGCTACAGGTGCAGGTGATGGAGGCCCGCAAGCAGGTGCTAGGGCCAGAGCATCCCGACGTCCTAACTAGCATGAACAACCTCGCAGATATATATGCGAACCAAGGACGATGGAAGGAGGCAGAAGAGCTACAGGTGCAGGCGATGGAGGCCCGCAAGCAGGTGCCAGAGCCAGAGCATGCCGACACGCTGGAATTGTTGGCAGGGGCTGTCGCGCACAATAGGCAATATTCACCCTACTTGGAGGATGATGAGAATTCTGTGGATTCCCATTCATCCATGGATCTATCCACTGGAAACGAATCAGTCTTTTCCCTTGCCTCCATTCCTAGCACCAGATCATTGGGATCTGGAAGCGGGGAAATAAACTCCTTTCTCATTCAGGAATTTGCAACCCTGCTGCATGAGAATGGCATTCTGCTCTCGCTAGTTTCAATTGGCGTATCAAAACAACAGATTGGATTCGAAAGGATGCGAAACAACTTTCGGAGATTGCTGCAACACTTCGCAAATGATCTCAAGGCAGAGACCCAGGGCGAACTGCACCGAGAGCTCAGGAGCTTTGTAAGCTCCTATTCAGCCATGATCACCCGGGAGCTCTTTGCCATGGACCACATCGACGAAAAGCAGAACATTAAACCTCCCGTTCCGGAAATAGAACATGAAATCGCATCAGTCGAAAGACGTTCAGCCTTAGAGAGGAAAGTGGAAGATTATCTTGAAAAATTACGTTCGGATCCTGCTCCTCACAAGATAGCAGAGCTTGATGAGGAGAGTGACGAAGACTCCGTTGCCGAGGAAGCTGGCGAAGATGAGCCATATGAGGAGGGATCTTTGCAACACGTGGATCAAATAAAACGCTTTGTTTTGGAAAGCACCGCCTACCAAACCCTTCTTTGTCGGCTTGAAGAATTCGTTCAGCCTTCGCTGTACTCTGGGCTTCGAAATCTGGTGACGAGGTGGTCAATTCCAGATAATCGGAACCATCGCGATGTTGTTCGGTATAAACTACGAAACCTTGTCACAGAGTTACAGCACGTGAACCCCCATGAGATTCAATTTGACTGTGATCAAACTGTATCTCGATTTATCAAGTTCATCAGCCACTATCAGCATAGAGTTGAGCGTTGGACCGGAGAGCGTTGGGATTGGTGGCCATTGCCTCGTTGTCTGAGACCACTGAGAGAATCGGAGACACGGTTACTATGGCAGTGTGTGAGTACTCATTTATATCCAGCCCTATAAAGTGTCAATTAGGTCCTGATAGGTGCCATAGGCATGTGGTGAAGAGCGATGGGCAGAAGTACCAAATGCCTTTGTCAAACGCGTTCAGTCCATAATCAAGACTCTTCCCATGGAAACCGCAACAACCGGAGATATGCTGCCTCATGGGGCATCTCCTGGATCTAACTTGGTCCTTCGCAACGCCCCAAACAATAGTCAAAGTTCCAATCGGGTTTCACATCAACATCATGGAACTCAGCAATCGGGCGGCTCGTCCTCTGACCCTTCACTTCATCGTCCAGCATCGGGACTTAACGCTAATACTTTGGACATAAGCATTTCCCAGCACCGTGTCCTCTTCCTCGCAAAACAGGGTGAAGATTACAGACTCGCACAGATCTTTGTGGACAATTTAAACTGCGATACATTCTTCGGTACAATCAAAGAGGAATATTTCCGTTTGAGAGGTTTATTCCGGGGACGCTTCAGCGTTTGGAGGTACTCCCACTGTGACTTTTATAAGGTGAATGATTCTGTGTGGCTCTCTGAGAACTTTAAATTGACAACATAAACCACAGTTCGAGAAGTTCGATGACCACGTGTTTGCACCAATTAGTAAAGATGCTTTCCCTGACCATGCAAACACCGATTACGAGTATCAGCCAAAACCGATGGAAAATATACCCCCAATCTCCGAGCACGAATTTACGAAACGTTTTTATGCATGTCACAAACCGCGACCGTTACTTCACCTGCACCACAAGTGTAAAAGGCTGGGAGCCCATTCCTCTGAAATTTTGAAGTTGCTGCCAAAAAAAAGGACCGAACTCGAAGAAGCAGGTGACAAGCGAGAAGATTTCTGGGGAATCTATGCCCGCGAAATCATCAGCTTACGTTGGATTATTTTCTACAATTTTGTCTGTGTTACACCATTGCTAGTGTTCTTCGTGGTATGGATCATCCCTCAGGGGCATAGCACGGATTTGCAAAATCCATCTATACCAATTTCCATAATGGTCTCCATGCTTTCTCTCTTTTGGAGTATCTTTCTCAGCAGTTTGCAGTTTGGAAAGTCACATTGAAACATACATGTTGTATTTGATGAGCGTTCAGAGCAAGGAAATGTGAATTCTTACAGTCTTATGCTTGCTACAGAGTGTGTGTGTGTGTGTGTGTGTGTGAAATCATTTACCCTGACCCCTCGCGAACGATATGCAGGATACGACTACTATATATATCCGTGTACGTACATGTAGAGTGTTCCACTTCCTGACAACGAACTTAGAGCCTCGTCAAGGCCTGTCGTGGCCTAATTGCCGTTCCCATTGTTAGGCTGCCCCGGTGGCGCGCGACTCCGGAACCGTTGTGACGCCTCGGCGAAGTCCAGCACGGCCTTGACCGTCCTGGCTCGCGAGACGGTGTCTGGTTTACCTTTCTCACCTTGTTTTGAGCCTCCCAGCAGGCTCGATACGCTATTAAACGCATCTCCAACTTCTCTCCTTAGCTCTCTCCGAGGTTCCCTCAAGTTCGGGCAATCCACCAGCACATGGGTGACTGTTTCTTGTGCGCCGCATGCGCACTGGTCGTCGTCACTATAACCAACATTCTTGCGGTAGCTGGATAACCAGTTGTGGCCCGTGCGCAGCTGCGTCAAGAGGTACGCGCGATTTCTTGGCAGGTTCCCATATAGTCTCCTAGTGTAGCTTGCTGGCAGGGTGTTATCGATCTTTCGTAAGTGACCACCCTTGGTGGATAATTTCCATTCTTGTTCCCACTGAGAGTAGATGTTCCGACGGATGAACGCCCTCTCTCTGGTGAGGAGTGGGCGGAAGGGATGGGTTTTGCCTGGGCTGGCGGCGTCCTTTGCTAATCGATCTGCAGCGTCGTTTCCAGGATTGTCACAATGCCCTGGCATCCATTGAAGGCGGAGTGCGATTCCCGCCGCTAGAACCTCGGCGCCAGCCTGGAGGATTGCGTGAACGATGCGTTGTCCTGATCTGTTTCTCGCGCTTTGAACCGCCTGCAGGGCGGACCGGCTGGCGCAGAGGATCGTCGCTGTTAGTTGCCTGTGTGCTGTCCTCAAGCGTTGGTGGGCGATCTTGAACACTACACTGATCGCGTAGAAGATGCCTATGAGCTCCGCTACGTGAACAGACCAGCGGCTCATCGGTCCTATTTGGACCTGCCGCGCCTCGAGTATCTCTTGGTTGTTGTCGAATGCTACAGCGGCGGCGCCTAGGTGGTCCTGTCGACCAGAGTCGTCAGAGTAGACAACAACGTCGGATGTAGAGCGAGTGGCCTCGGCCTTCTGTGCCGCTGTCTCGCGATCAGACCCGATCTCAATCTCAGCGAAGGGATCGAGACGCCACGGCGGTAGTGGTCGTGGATCGATGGATTCCAATTCGTTTAGCCTCTCGATATTCATGGTCTTCATCGCTTCCGCGAGCGGGAAGCGAGCGTACGAGCCTATATTATCCCTGCGTTTCTGGGCTCGTGAGAGCGCACTCCAGATGGGGTGATCCCGTGGTAACGTGTGGAGGCTAGCGATAGTCCTCTGGGCTCGGTGGCGGAGACGCAGGTGGGTGGGGAGAACGTGTGCTTCCACTTCCAAGGTCGTGGTGGCTACTGTTCTGAATGCTGACAGGATCCGGATCAGCGAGGTCCTTTGTATCGTGTTCAGCTGTCGGAGGTGTGTCTTGTCTCGCAGTGGGTCGTGCCAGACCGTTGACGCATAGTCTACTACTGGTGTAACACATGCCTGGTAGAGTTGTCGCATCTGCTCTGGGCGAAGGTGTCGCAGTCCGTTCAAGGCAATAGTGACTTTGGTTGCGCGTTTGATAGCTTGTTGCACATGCTCCTTCCATCTCAGCTCCTGGTCAAAGATCACGCCTAGCAGCTTAGCCACGGGCGATGGCTTGACGGTCGTGCCATTCACGATAACATGGCCCTGCAAGTGTTCTCCTCTTTTTCGGGTCAGGTGAATGAGTTCGGTCTTCTCGGCCGCGAAGCAGGACCCAGTTCGTCGCGCCCACGTTTCGATGCGGGGGATATCTTCGGACTGTATCTTGGCTAGGTTCTCCTCTGCCGAGCGTCCTACTCGCCAGCGGAAGTAGTCGTCGATAAAGGCTGATGCGCCACCATGGAAGGTAACAGGTTGGTCGACTAGATCGGAGTTAAAGAATGTAAACAGAATCGGGGAGAGAGGTGATCCTTGTGCAAGTCCAGCGTTCGCTAGTGGTGCTAACTCTGTGCGGAAGTCGTCGAATCCTATGCTAGCATAGCGGTCGCTCATAAAACTTGCGATCCACTTTCTTGCGACTGCGGGGATCCTCCTAGCCCGCAGGCAAGCATCTAAACTCGTTTGATTGACCCCGTTGAAAGCTCCTTTTAGGTCGAATGACACGAGAGTAACCACTTTGTTTTTGTACCACGCCCGGTCGATCGCGTTCAAGAGCACCAGCAAAGCTTGTTCAGTGGTTCTTCCCGGGCGCCCACCGAATTGGGTGTCCGGTAGCAGGCCATGCTTTTCTGTGAGATATGAAAGTCGACGGGCTACTGCTGCCTCGAGAAGCTTGCCTAGCGTGTTGAGGAGTGAGATCGGGCGGTAGGCCCCGGGGACTGAATAATCTGGCTTTCCGGGCTTCCTCAGCACCACGATCTTCGCGTTCCGCCATTGCTTGGGATGGTAGCCTAGAGTCATAGATGTGTTGAAAATGTTGGTGATGATACCCTTTAGGTATACCCATAGTTGTTTCCACACGAGCATCGGCAGATTATCATCTCCCGGTGCGGTGGGTCCTTTAGCGGCTTTGAGAGATCTTTGGATCTCTAGCTCAGTGATGGGTTGCCACGGGAGCTCCAGTGGTGTTGAGGTTGGTAGACTGTCGCAGGGCGTATTCATTTCGGGGAAGAAGGAATCCAGGAAGGCCTGCGCTTTCTCGTCATTCCCAGTAAGCTCGTTCGTACCGACCTGCAGCGCTGGGGTACACCCCCAGGCATCTCGGGGTTTCATGTATGTGGCCGCTTTCCAAAGTTTCCCTTCCCCTGCCTCGTCAAGGAATTGTCTCCAGTGTGATGCTTTAGCCTTCTCAATGGCCCGGGTCCACGCCCGGCGTTTTTCTTGCATCTCTCGGAAGAGGGTCATAGATAAAGAATGTTCTCGTCCAAGTTGGGCACAGGATTCCTGCCATTTTCGGCGAAGCTGGTTGGCCTTGGTTTGTTGAACCTTGAGGTCCGGAGTAAACCATCGCTTGGAATATGGAGTCAGGCGTACATTAGGCGTATACCGATCTACGGCTGCGTTTGTTGCTTCTATGAGTTTCTGCACCATCTCGTCTAGTGCTGGTCGTGTTTTGATTTCCTTCCACGGACCGATTTGCCGCAACACCTCCTCGCCGATCTTGTTCCATTCCGCCCGGTCGAACGCTTTCTTTGCCTTAGTGGCGGGCCTACACTGAGCTTGGAGATTCCATTCCGAGTATGTGGCACGGTGGTCTGACCCGTAGTTGTCGTGGTAGAGATGGCATTTGATGAGTAGGTCTGGTCGGTTCGTCACCGTCTGGTCGATAGTGGAGTTCCTCCCGGGGTCATTCAGAGCCCAGTATGTCGCTGTCCCCCGGGGGAGGCAGCTGTATAGACCATTGGCTTGGAAGAAGGTGATAAGGTCGCTTGCTTCTTCGATAAGTCGCGGTTGGATGTGGTTACCGCCCCAGGTTGGGTGGTGGCGGTTAAAGTCTCCTGCGAGAACGACACTTGTGGATCGTCGACTGTCGCGTAGAGCATCTGTGATCGTATTTTGGATGGCGGTGAATGCTGGTTCTGGCGACGCCTTATCCGGCGTACCCAGCGGGACAGATGGGATATAAACAGAAAAGAGGAGGAGTTGAGTTTCGGCTGTCCAGATCTTGACGGCGGCAATATCTGGGTGATCGCAAAGAATCTGCCGGTGTGAAGACGTTGAGATTCGCTGGTTGACGTAGATTAGACTTCGGAATCGATCTGCTCCGGTCTCGAGGGTTGGC